AGGTACAGTCCTTATGCTATCGACATTAGCTCAACCCCGGCAACTAACGTGTCCCTAAACCAAGAATTGAAATCTTGACCCATTATTCTGATTAATTAGTGGTTAAACATCTTTAGGCATCTGAAAACGTTAGTTTTTAATCTAGTGTACTCAAAAAGGAACAACATAAAGCTTTATGCCGCCTTAAAAACCCAATCCCATGTTACGCAAGGCGTCGATAGAGAAAGAATAAGGCTTTGAGTCAGAACAGGCAAGGGCTTAGATAACTGCCAAAATACCTAATCTGTAGACCTCACAAGTCTAGACGATATATTTGTGCCTCTGTTTTTAGACTTTCAGAACAAATGCATGTGATGTGGTCAGTAGGTACATAAAAGAGAAAAGTAGTTTTAATCTAGAGACTTCAAACATTTCTGAAGGACCGAATTTGAACTTGTAGGCCGTGGTGTCGATGCCAAAGTTTAGCGTCGTCCGCAAAGATAAGCTATCGTTATATCATCTCTATGCCCATATTGTGACAGATATTTACAAATGTGTCTAATATAGGACAGAATACATAGCTACTCAACATAGATAAGCGCAATCACTTGTCCACGACTTAAGAAACCACTGTACTGCAAAACCCACCTAAATGGAAAATGTCTTAGATGTGTGTTTTAATACAAATGTGTACCTCGTCGCGAGTTAGGACCTGTAGGCAGGGGCGGAACTACCATACCGCCAGACCCCGCAATGCGGGGGGGCCCAGGCCGTTTAGGGGCCCAAAATCCGACCAAAAAGCAATGACTTTGTATCCCAAAATTACGTTTTCGTGCACCTTAATTATGGTTTTGTAAAAAAAAAACTACTACTGTAGTGATGTTCTACAGTAGCTAACACACGCTGTTGCGTAAAAGAAAAAAAAATCTACATAAGCTTTAGTGTGCAAGATAAATATTCAAACCACTTCAATGACTTATTTCCCTTTTTTAAATAGTCAAATAGAAGTGCCCATAAACCCCTTTTAATAGTTTTGTACTACACACATTGAAAAGCAATTACTTCTCTTAATTATAATTTTTTATAAAATACATACTAAAGAATGGCATAGTATAAAAAGGAATTTTTAAAAAAAATAATTTAAATTAAAAAAAAAACCATAAAAATAAACATAACACGAGAAACCATTACACTTACAAAGCTTTCATGTTTCATATACTTTTGACCGGCTTGCACATGGGAAGCTATACGGCCGACATCAAAAGTATTTGCAAAACAGACTAATGCACTTAAACACATGACATGTTGTTGTAATTTGTTAGAATTGAAAATAAAAGTATTATGTATTTTTTAAAACAATGTGTTGTTTAATAAAAAACTAGATTAGGCCCGAAATGAGTATCCTACGTTCGTATTTTGTGTTTATATATATATATATAGGGGGCCTCAAAAAATATTTTGCGGGGTGGCCCTTTTTTCCTAGTTCCGCCACTGCCTGTAGGTAGTCTGTTACTACTCTATATCTAAAAACAATCAAAAGATAACGTGAATTTTATTTGTTCAATTTCTTGGTTAACTGTATTTGTTGCATCTTGTTCAATTTTATTAATATTGATTAACCTAAAGGGTTCAAATGTAACAAAGAAAATTGTGACTAAGTTTCCGGGTGCGGGTATGCGGACACTAGTTAAAGTAGGCCCTATATATCTATTTATATTTATAGAAATGAAAGTATGTTTGTCTGTTTGTCCTATATGAATTACTACATCTTTTTCACCGGATCGCCATAAAACTTTGTGAACAGAGTTTTTTCCAGGAATCTATTCGGAGGGGGGGGAAGCAGAGCCCCCCCACCCCCCGAAGAAAGTCTATCGACTCCCCCCCCCCCCCCCCGAACGAAACGGAATTTATATAGAAAAAAATACTTTTAACAGTGTCCGCACGCCCCCCCCCCGGAAAGATTTCGCCAGGGCGGCACCCTAGCAGGAAGCAGAAGCGTAGCAACCTATTCCGGCAGCCGGGGCGAACTATCAATTATGTGCCAACCCTATTCAAACGCTGGCAAAAAGGCGCCCATCCCTACATACACTCCCCTATATAAAATAATTGAGGATATCAGCCATGTATAAATCTGTTTTCTTAAATTTTACTGAAGAATGAGGATTTTTTTAAAAATTGTCTACCCCTTTTGGCGCCCCATTCGATCTGGGGTCTCTGACAGGAAGCAATGCAATTTTTCTCCATAAAAATAAAAGCCAGATGCAATTTGACACTGTTCGTACGAGAGTCATAAAATTTTGGGTAGTTGGTGAAAAGGGTTTCGAGAAAGAAAAAAATTCTTAAGTGTGGCACCCTGGGAGGGTTCGATTTTTCTAATTATACGATTATGAGCTCAGAATCCAGAGGGGAATCCAGAGGGGCTATCTCATCAATTGCGGTCATAGGTAATACTAGATTCATCAGAGGCGCAGCGAGGGGGGCGGGGGGTACATATGTCCCCGGGCGCCAACCCTAGGGGCGCCAAAATGGTTGGAAAAATTTAAAAGCTCATTTTAGCTATAGTTTTGCATTATAAATATTTTAAAAATACGGGGAGGGGGCGCCAAATTGAAAGTTTGTCTCCGGCGGGAGGGGGGGGGCGCCAAATTGAAAATTTGTCCCCAGGCGCCAGGAATGGTGCTACGCCTCTGAGATTCAGTGATAAAACTACACCAGGTTCATCCGCCAGCTCCCCGGCGGTTGAGTGGCCCAGAGCGGCCAAGACCCATCTCGGGCGACACTACGGTTTAGATAGGCTACTATAAATGTTCACTGAGTAGAATAATGAGCGCCCGCCGGCGCCCTGGCAGTTGGCGACAGCGAGCGCCCCGGGCTCTTCAGAGAGTGCCTCCTTAAAGAGCACCCTACAATAGGGACACGGTGGCACACGACATTTTATAATTAAACCGAATTAGGGGCGCCCCTGCGGAAATATAACCAGTGGCTCCCTGGAGCGCCAAGGGACGCGTCTCTAACACATGGGCGGTCGCCAATGTGTGTTCTACCTCACTATTACAGAGGTTGATTAACGTACACTCAAGGCTTTCATACAGTGAGCCTTGGTGCGTCTAGGCGGCAGTGTGGACAAACCCGCGCCCAAAAAACGAATATGTGGGTTTGTTCAAGCATTATCAAAGATTTCATTCGTTTTTCATTCAAATTTGAGAAGTTAATGCTAATACCCCTGTGGTGGTTTCTACGAAAAAAAAATCGATTTGGTGGCGCCCTGGCAGGGTTCCATTTAGCTCCCCGGGTTTTCCCGTGAGTACTATGGTACCTTTGTTCGTTTTAATAATTGCGAAACGCTATGAATATGATGGGCTACTATAATCGCTCACTATACAGAGTGAGGCGCCTTCCTACCTACGCCCACCTACCTACATACCTAACTCCCTGCCTACGTACCTACCTATCTACTAACCTGCCTGCGCTGCTGCCTGCCTACCTACTTTCCTACCTACCGTTATTCCTGCCAAACTGCTTTCCTTCCACCCCGCCTGTCTACACACCTCACATCCTACTTACACACACACATATCTCCGTATGTATATATGTATGTGTTAGTGTGCTCTAGGACTATGTATTTTTACATTTTTGTTGTTACGTAGAACTATTCAGTATAAAGGAGTTTCGTTTTTTTTGACGTTGTAACTGCCGCTAAAATATTCTTTTTTGTATGTGTGCATAAAATAGTGTAGGTTTATTAACAAAAGTAAATTTTAGTATGTATTTAAGTGTATATAATCATTTTCGTCAAGCCAATGTGTTCATAATCTTAAATTAAAAAACCCATGAAACTCGATAGCCAAAGATTTAGAATGAGAATAATTGCTATTTAACCAGTAACACCTATTCTAATTATTGTAATAATATTTTTTTTAAATAAATATACACAGAGATAGATTGTTTTCTTATATAATTTATTTAAAAAGTCAACTGTATTTCATAACGAAAATTAACACAAAATACATTCGAATAGAAACTGTCAAGGGAGACTACTCTAATATTTGTAGGAATTATAGTTTTTATTTAGAGTTTTTTTTATTATTAGAAGAAAAGTTAATCATGTAGGTTCTATAAAAGATTACCTTGCATTTAAAAAAAAAAAGATATTCGATAGGTTTAGAATGAGAAATAGCCAAAATTATTTATTATATTCATTAGTTGTTTTTTTTAATAATGTAGTACAAAGACCTGTTTTAATTATTTTTTAAAAATCTTATTTTAATTAATAAATTATAAATGAAGATCGAGGATCTATATTTTTTAAAAAATAGTTTAACTGTCCCTAAACAATTGTATCAATCGCTGAGAAATTAAGAATTAATAATTACGTTTAACGCTTTATTAATTAAACGAGTTGAATTATTTCCGTTTTGATAAACTCTCTCTCTCTTATAACTACTAACGCTTTATCATTGAGTTTCTTAAGAGAAAAATACAGGAGAGCGGTAGTTATCATTGACTCTGTCATTGATAATTTCATTGAGTCTTTCATAGAAAATAGTGTTTGATCGGCTGTTTATTCTGTTCTCTTTAGAAGTCAGATCTCAGCTTGTTAACAATTGTAATTATATTCCGTCTTCTTTTGGACATTTTTTGCTCTTGATTGTAAAACTAAGACTGTATTTCATACCTTCAACACCACGAGAGATAGCATTCGCTTCAGTGGCGTAGGCAGGGGGGGGGGTTAAGGGGGGTCATAAACTCCCCCCCCCCCCCCCCATAGACCCCTCGGTATATATATAAAAAGTATGAGGGGGGTTGCAAATCGAAAGTTTGAGGGGGGGGGGGGTGCAAATAGAAATTTTCTCCCCGGGTAAAAATTGGAACACCCCCCCCCCCTTGAGACGATTCTGGCTACGCCACTGATTCGCTTATGAAAGAATATTTCTGGACCCACATATTTAATCCCACCCAGTCCAATGCTTATTTTGTCTATCACGTGACTGATTTATTTTTAAATCATCTTTTCAGTTTGACGCACAATGTCGACATTCTGGGGATACATCTTTGAGGGGCTGGTGTTTGGGACCATATGGGTGTGGTGGATGCTCAACACCTTTGTTGGTGTCATCAGGGTAAGTCACTAGTGGTAAGCGATGAAATCATTTACCTGTTTAGGTTAAAGTTCAACAATAGAATGGCCAGGTGAGCGAAAAACTCAGGGTAGTTAACGCGGTAAGTCCCGAGTTCAAACCACCGGGCAGATGAGGCTCAATAGCTGGGGAAATCAAGAAGAGAAATTCGATTATTAAACAGGAGTGAAGCCCCTTTGGCGATAGGATTGCCTAATCTGGTTTCTTTAGGCAATTCCGGCAACAAACCTGATGCCAAGTTGTATAGTTATATCTGTAACGGCTCTTCCATCAGCTGTGTTGAGAGAGAGGTCATTACACATAGGCACCATCTGGCTCTTCCCAACTTGCTGTCATGGTATTGAGCTTTGATTTTCAAGCATCTATCAGACAATGGAGCCATATATATATATATATATATATATATATATATATATATATATATATATATATATATATATATATATATATATATACATATATATATATATATGTGTGTGTGTGTGTATATATATATGTGTATATATATGTATGTATGTATGTGTGTGTATATATATATATATAAAACTTTCTTTAATTAATTTTAACAATTTTAGCTTTGTTAGTTATTCTTTGATTTTCAGTGTCAGAATGAAGGCAAATCATTTATTCCAAGACTCAGCTACCCAGTACCCGGCACGAAGATACCCATTGAAACATTCGCCAAGCTGGCGCTCTCCGGGACCGGTTTCCTAGCAACGGTCTTCTACGACGGCGTGTCATTGGTGGACGAAGGCGGAAACTACCGGAAAATGCCGATCGTCATCACGATGTCCATATATGGGATATTCCTCGTGCATAGCATCGTGGAACTTCTGCTCTGGTGCGGGGTGCCTCTCATACGGAACAGCGATTACGTCACCGGTGCTCTCGGGTTTTTCTGGTACTCGCTGGCTACCTTCTACAGGTAAATTTTCTGCGCTACCTGGGTTAGGTGCTATTGTTTTTATTAAGACCCGTTCAAGCTACCCCCACCCGCACCCACCCGAAAATTATAGAATTGATAAGAATTTATTAAAACTTGTGCTTTTTAGCGCAATTTCCATTCTGGAGAATTGCGTTTATTAACCCGTCATTTCTGGATGGATGGATGGATGGATGGATGAATGTGTGTCCGCAGCTTTAAGTCGTATCTCCTCCTCAACGAAGCAATATCGATGACTAGTTCCAAAAGCAATTATGTTAAGCCAGTTACGAGGATGAACATAGGCCATAAAAATTCCGGGTTTCTTTCATGGATTTCCCGTAAAAGCCAAAAAACCTCGAACAAATTCAGTTTTTGCTACATATCTAGGCAACCAGACCACTTAGCGACTTGAAACATTTACCAATCGATTCCTGCCATAATTTAAACCAATATTGCCGAAGAAAGTTTTCAAAAATATCCTTTCGTTCGGTCACAAAAAATTAATTAAGAATTTTTAAACTGAGCGTCTTGTAGGTTTTTAGCGCAAAAGCTGAGGATCGAAAGGATTTTAATGAGCGGAGGTTCGAAAGGATTTTTTAAATTTTTCCCCTTTTTTTCGACTGATACGGGAGGCTACTCTCCCCTTTTTTTTCGACTGATACGGGAGGCTAGTTTCTATTTTGTTTTGAATTATTAAAACTACTTGTGTTGCATTATTTATTTGCTGAATATATGATTTATCTCGATTTAATTTACTTATTAATTCAAACGTTATTTTTGTACCCTATTAATAAGCTGAGGTTCGAAAGGATTTTACCATAGCGAATGAGCGGAGGTTCGAAAGGATTTTTTTAAAAATCTCGTTAATAAATATTTTTTCTATTTTGTTTTGAATTATTAAAACTACTTGTGTTGCATTATTTATTTGCTCAATATATGATTTATCTCGATTTAATTTACTTATTAAATCAAACGTTATTTTTGTACCCTATTAATAAGCTGAGGTTCGATATAAGGAAATTGCGCTAAAATTGTCACTAGACTTTTTAATTAACTTGTTTATGTTGTTAAGATCCAAATGATTTTTTTTTGTAAAGTAATTTTGGAATTTAAAGAAGTCTAAATCTACTTTCTTTGTTGAATGAATAATATACGTGTTTCAAAAGGGCGGGGGGGGGGGGGGGAGTTCTGTCCGCACTTGTTGATTTAGGGGGTGACACCCAACCGAAAAAAATTATAAGTTACCGACAAAACAATGTTTTATTCAGTTAAAATAATGAAATCATGGGATAGAGGGGTTACAAACCAAACCGAAAATGAAAAATGGTTGGGGGGGGGGGGGAAGATGTTGATAGCCTCATCGACCGCCCCGGATGACACCCGATCTAGTGACGCCACTGGTACAAGTAAAAAAAAAAGTAAAGAATCCTCTTTAGATCTAGCGATCCATTGGTCAGATGAAGTAGAGTTCATTTGTTTCTTGGCCTCGACATATTAATGAGTGGTCAGTTTTTTGCCCATCCGCCCCTATTTTCCCTAACGCGAGTTGGGTACCCATCTTAGCTGGGTGAGCTCAGGGACGTTCTACTGACTTGAACCCGGATTCGAACGACAGACCTTCGGTTTAGCATCCTGTCGGCCACTGTTAAAAGCTGCAGTGAAATGTATTTTTTTCCTCATTATGACAGGGCCAACGACTTCGGCCATCATGGTGCCGTGGTTGCCATGGTGAAGACGTTTCCTCTGTACCCGCTGTTCGCCATCGGCGTCTCCCTGCTGGTGGAGGCGGAGAGACGGCGGGGCTACTGGTGCCAGATGGTCCGCATCGTCTGCCTGGGCGTGCTGGCATCCTGGGACTTGAACGCTGCCTTCATCCTGCACAGGGCCTCGCCTTTCCCAGGTATAGACCCCTCGGTATATATATATAAAGTATGAGGGGGGTGCAAATCAAGTTTGAAGGGGGGGGGGGGGGTGTGCAAATCGAAAGTTTGAGAGGGGTGTGCAAATCAAAAGTTTGAGGGGGGTGCAAATCGAAAGTTTGTCCCGGATAAAAATTGGAACCCCCCCCCCTGAGACGATCCTGGCTACGCCACTGTTTTTCACCCCACCCCCCCCCCCCCGCCCTCGCCCCTTTTCTCGATACTTATGTTACGTTAAAAATCCTCGTTTTAATTTCTTAATGTTAGCCAAGCTTTCAAGTTTATTTTACCAATTGAGCCCTAGCCTAGCTCAAGCCCGTACTTACTTCCCACATTCTTTCAGTAGCATTGTTTCCAACATACTGTCTACTGTTTATACAACTAGCTTTAAATCGTACTTGTTAATTGCTGTCCCTCACTCTATCGTTTAGTCCAGTCATACATAAACCTACTCTACGTCATGTCAATTTTTGACATCCAGCATATTTTTAAATGAAGAAAATGTTTTAAATTACTGAGCAACAGTAAAAAGAAATTATCGGCAAACTTTTTTTATATTCATAGATTGATACATTTTAAGCTCTAGTTTGGTACTTTCGTAAACCCCTTATTTTTAAAACTTCAAACCCAACCCTGCTTGAACCCCACAGGACCGAACCCTTCCCACTGGGACATGGGAAATCACGAGAACGCGGCCTTCATTGGAGCAGCTTTCGGCGACCATATTTGTTTTCACCTCGTCTTTCTGACCTTGACCTACTTAATGACAGCGGTGTACATGAAGGTGAAGCACCGCATGCGCATTGAGTACCAAGCCGACTGAGGTGAGCGGTTAAAGAGTGACGTCCACTGAATTTTACCCACTTTCCAGAACTTTCAACACGCACTCCTTATACGTCATCTGATTGTTTCGATATCCTACAAGGAATTGAAAGTCAGCAACTTTCGAATCAGATCATTGATAAGAAAGCTATACAGATCTAGTATTTACAAATAATAATAAAAATAAAACAAATTAAAAGAAGGCGGTGGAAATAATATACATGAATATTCGGCAAGTCAGATTTTGTTTCTCAATTAATGCTTTTTACACAATATTTTCAAGTGATAATCGTAGAATTTCTTGAATGTAACTGTTAAAAAAATACTTGTGTTCTAGCAAGGTTCACGGTAAGGTTTACAGATGGTTATAACATCATGGGGTACATTGACAGCTAATACGTTACGATATGGACTAATTTAATGAACTTTCTGGGTAATTTTGTTTAAGTATTTTACAATTAGTTTATGGACTAGTAGGCTACTGCTCCATAATGTGCTATCTTTATACAAATTGAAATACTTTTAAAAGTTTTAAATAACGTGACGCTGTTCTGAAAATTAGGTCTCCACGTTATGTTTCGACCTAAGGCCTTCTTCAAGGCATGAACAATAAGATTAAGTTGACCAATACAAAGGGTACACAAAACGAATGGCTCTGTAAAACGTGAATAGGGTTTAGAAAACGAAACAAAAGCTCTCGCCATGTTGTAAATTCATTCTTTACCTACTGACCATTGTCTAAGTTAATGTTACGTTGCATAAAGGAAAGGATTTTTTTCTACATTTAACACTATTGAGTAGTCTTAACCGTTTATAATAAACAAAAGCAATTTGTTTAGTTTTTTTTAACACATAGATAATGCTGTTAATGTTTTTTGTTAGCTCGGCTAGTACATTTGTTGACTGCGCGGTGGTGTATGTGCTTAGCGTGTTAACACTGCGTCATCATTGTTTTACCTTTGGCAGTAGCGTACGCAGGGGGGAGCAGGGGGAGCGGCCGCTCCCCCTCTGGCCATTTTCAGCAAAGTGGCGCCTTTTTGGAAACTTTTTTAATTCAAAGTTTTAAACAATGAAATTTGTTAAAAAAATTTTTTTTGGTCGGCACATCTATGTAAATCACAAGATTTCTTTTCATGCAGCAATCAAGCATTATTGTACTAGTCTAGTAGTGTCTACGTTTACAACACGTATTAACAGCTGCATCATTTTGTCATTCTAAAAATAACCATTACGATGCATTGCAATGTTTAAAAAACCTCTACGGGTAGTACCACTTGGCAAGAGGGATGTTAAGTTTAAAGCAACTGTATAATGTATTTGCGTACGAATAATTGAATTAGAAAATGTTATATATAAAACTGCACACATAATTACTTTATATATACAGTTTGGATTAATTTAAAAAAAATACAATACAGAAACAAATACAACTGATGTGGCGCCTCTATTTAAATTTACTTATGAGCAAACTGCGTAGCGGTGGGGAAATTTTGACAAGGTCAACAACGTCATCACGATGAAGTAGTAGTATTCTTACAGTTTGGGCGATAGTGATTACGATTACAAATTATATGAAACAGTTACAACCCCCTCCCCCATGGACCCCCCTGTAAAAAAATATTGTCATAATACCACTGCTACTTATTTAAATCTATTTCTGTAATATATATCTGTGTAATATATATTTGTGTAATATATATGTATGTTTAGAACAGTCATCTAAAAACTGACGCTATGTTCACTCTGAGTTGGTTATCTCCCCCCCCCCCCCCACACACACACACAAACACCACCACAATTGTGTAGAGCGATATTAATGTCACACCTAGGTATACACTGGGTTGGATAATTGACCTAAAGTGAAAGGACAGTGGTGAACGAAGTTGAACCGACCCCCCCCCCCCCCCCAACCCACCCCGAACTGATCTGTAAAAGTACTTGTAGAAAAACGCGTAATGATGTACCAAAGTACCATGCCGCCAGAAAATTAGCTTTTTAAACGTAAAACTCTGTGAATATTGTTTTAGCAATTACCAGTAAAAAGGTGTGTGATCAATACAGTGATCTAACCCATACCTATCACTATGTTAAAAAATTACCTTTAAAGAACTCAAAGAAGCAGTAGTTAATTAAAAATATTTGATCTATATAAAAACACCGATATTTAATTAAATGTAGGCTGTTATTCCGAATGTTTTTCTATTTTATCGAATAGCGTGGTTTTATACCAACTCTGATTTTAAAAACTTTCATTATGCTGTAATGCTTTAGCATTTATAATGACGATATATTAAATTCTGATTATAGACAAAAACATTTTGCAAACACGAATAGTGTTAAAGAATTTCATTATATTCTAAATTATTTATTTATTTGTTTTTACGTTTATAATTAAATGTGTAGATATGTACATATTTATAGTAAGAGAGTGATTATTTCCCCTATTTCACTTGTCTTAAAGAATTTCCCAGGAATTATTATGTAAGAAATTTTTTTTACAAGAATTACAAAACAGATTGTGTTACGTTCATTGTTTTTGGTTGTAGTGTGTGTATATTTTTTT